TACCAGTAATGTTATGTGGTCTTGTTCAGAGGTTTTGCAGCCATTCTCTGAACTTGGCAATGTTCTCAAATTTACATGAAATTTCAATTTTTAAAATCTATAAAATTCCCAGCAAGATCGATACAAATAGTTTTGAGATGCTCTGATAATGCTCCAATTTTTGGAAAGTATTTCCACTTTTGTTTTTGTAATTTGAGGTCGATTTCGTTTTTCATTTGCATTTTTTTATTATGCACAAAAGAGCTCTTTTTTATTTTACATTTTATTTAGCATTGTGTGTTTTTGCTTCGTTTCCTGTTTGGTTGCTGGGATCTTGTTACCTTGTAACCCTAACCCTGTGGCTGTATCATTATTGATGAAAAGCTTTGATTTAAAATAAAATGTTAAAATAAAATGTTTTAAATGTGAAACCAAAAGTTTCAATGTGAATATCAGTGCAATTTTATTCACTCGTTTCCTGATTATAGCCAAAATATATTGTGATATTAGATTTTGTTCATATCGCCCAGCCTTAGCTCATCACAGCATTTTCTAAAACTTAACATTTGGTATATACACAAATATTTAATATCAACGCTATATTTTTATTAAAAAAAAAAACCTTTGCAATAAGTAACATTTCAACAACCTACACACTGGCTTCTCTATCAACAGAAACTTATTTTATACACAAAAATATTTCTTCCCTTTTTCCCATTCAAACTATTAAAGATTTCCAGTTACAATGTTTTTTGGGGACCTTTTATATCTGTGTCTCATCAACAGCATCCAACCATCAGTCTGAGCATGTGGTTTTGAGTCACTCTGTGCAGACTAAGTGATTCACAGTGTTCCAACTAAAGACACTTTTAGACAAGACACCAAATTAACTAAATTGGAGAGTGCTGACCACTCCCTCTATCGTCTCCCTGCAGAGCAAAAGGACAGACGGTGGAGGCAGAAGACGGTAATTTTCTTATCCCATTTTGGCCTTATTCTGCTGTTTTCACTCTAGGTCTCAACACATTGCATCATCATCATCATCATTATCTTTATGACATGTCTGTCTCAGTAACAGCCTATACTTTCCATTTTAAAATTGAGGGTTTTTTAAGGTTTATTTTTCCAGCAACACCCCTCTTTATTCTTACTCAGCTTTCTGAAAGAAGCAGAAGCATCAGAAACAGAACGAGACTTCTCCTTTTTAACTCAGATTTCAAATTAGTTAAAATAAAATAAAAATCTTTCCAAAAAGTCGTGTAATTTAATTTGTCATGAGGAATAAATACACTTGTTTTTGTTAGAAAAGTTATTGTGGCTCTAATTCAACTAAATTCAATTCAGTCTGATTGAAAGTTGTGAACTATTTAGAAAAAGCATTTCAATGGGTTTTTTTTTTTATCCTTAGTGTGTCTCGAAGAATTGCAAGATCATTTGATTTTTGCAGTGTTTAACAACTAACCTATAAACATGTTCCGAGGTTAGTTATACAATTAAAGCCAATAGTATATAAAAGAAAATTGCTTTTATTTAATTAAAATATAGAAAAGCCTTTGGTTGTAATGACCCTAGATTTTCGTTGAAAGAATAATAAGTTAGTAATTAATAATTGAGTGCATTCTATTTAGAAATATGAAAACTCTAGATTAAATAAATGACTGAATAAAACCTTAATAAAAGCAAAAAAGAAACATTTCCCAATTTCTTTTGATCTACCAAGCCAGATTGATCATCTGAAGCGCAAAAGTTTACATCTAGACATTATAAATCTGGACCAGCGCCCAGACATCATGAGAAACCTCAACAGCGTGCACTTTTACATTGCTGCTGTTCCTTCACAGATAAATTTATTGATTTGACTCAAAAAAATTAGGTGATAGCAGCAGCTCCAGTGCCGCCATATTTAGTTTGGTACGGCTGCAGCCCCGGCTTAAACCAACATGATTGGTCCACAGGTTCTGGGTTAGTCTACAACAGTTTAAGCGAGAACTTACAGGCAAAGTTAGTTTTCCCCTGCTTGTAAATCAAATGCAACGTTACAAAATATAAAGTAGGTATGCCACGAATTACACCCCAACCTGTCTGTCGTTTAGCCACCAGTTACGTCCACATCGGAGCGCATGAGTTCCAGTATGATCAGAATTTAAAAAATAAAATTGTTTATTTCTCAGGTCTCATTTAGTTCTGTTAAGGGCCAAACAAGCTGATGGATCATAAACGTTCTGCAACTCACAACTTCACTGGTTACGATGCATTGGTGTCAAACGCCTTTTGGACGTCGAAGCATCTGATTAAGATGCAAAGTCAGTGGTGGACAGCATCAAGCCGTGTCAAGAGGTCCCAGTATTCAATGCTGGAGTTAAGATACACTATATTGCCAAAAGTATTTGCTCACCCATCCAAATTATTGGAATCAGGTGTTCCAATCACTTCCATGGCCACAGGTGTATAAATTCAAGCACCTAGGCATGCAGACTGTTTTTACAAACATTTGTGAAAGAATGGGTCGCTCTCAGGAGCTCAGTGAATTCCAGCGTGGAACTGTGATAGGATGCCACCTGTGCAACAAATCCAGTCGTGAAATTTCCTCGCTCCTAAATATTCCACAGTCAACTGTCAGCTGTATTATAAGAAAATGGAAGTGTTTGGGAACGACAGCAACTCAGCCACGAAGTGGTAGGCCACGTAAACTGACGGAGCGGGGTCAGCGGATGCTGAAGCGCATAGTGCGAAGAGGTCGCCAACTTTCTGCAGAGTCAATCACTACAGACCTCCAAACTTCATGTGGCCTTCAGATTAGCTCAAGAACAGTGCGCAGAGAGCTTCATGGAATGGGTTTCCATGGTCGAGCAGCTGCATCCAAGCCATACATCACCAAGTGCAATGCAAAGCGTCGGATGCGGTGGTGTAAAGCACGCCGCCACTGGACTCTAGAGCAGTGGAGACGCGTTCTCTGGAGTGACGAATCGCGCTTCTCCATCTGGCAATCTAATGGACGGGTCTGGGTTTGGCGGTTGCCAGGAGAACGGTACTTGTCTGACTGCATTGTGCCAAGTGTAAAGTTTGGTGAAGGGGGGATTATGGTGTGGGGTTGTTTTTCAGGAGCTGGGCTTGGCCCCTTAGTTCCAAGGAAAGGAACTCTGAATGCTTCAGCATACCAAGACATTTTGGACAATTCCATGCTCCCAACTTTGTGGGAACAGTTTGGAGCTGGCCCCTTCCTCTTCCAACATGACTGTGCACCAGTGCACAAAGCAAGGTCCATAAAGACATGGATGACAGAGTCTGGTGTGGATGAACTTGACTGGCCTGCACAGAGTCCTGACCTCAACCCGATAGAACACCTTTGGGATGAATTAGAGCGGAGACTGAGAGCCAGGCCTTCTCGTCCAACATCAGTGTGCGACCTCACAAATGCGCTTCTGGAAGAATGGTCAAAAATTCCCATAAACACACTCCTAAACCTTGTGGACAGCCTTCCCAGAAGAGTTGAAGCTGTTCTAGCTGCAAAGGGTGGACCGACGTCATATTGAACCCTATGGATTAGGAACGGGATGTCACTTAAGCTCATATGTGAGTCAAGGCAGGTGAGCAAATACTTTTGGCAATATAGTGTATCTGAACTTTTGCAGCTGGATGCACAGCATCAAACAACCAGAAAACCTATTCCAGGAGATTTTTATCTTTCCTTTTTTGATAAAGCTTATAGTTAGAATCTTTATAGCTATGCTGCTATAGCCTTAAACTGCTGGAGGACATAGGGACCCTTTTTCATCATTCTATCTCTATTTTCCCACTCTGCAGAATCTGTTAGTTCAGTCTCTAACGTTCTGCTCTCTCTGCCTTTTCTCATAGTAGCTTCGCCTCGTCTCTTCCTGTTTGGCTGTGACTCCATCCTGCAGAGAAATATCAGCTGTGCTGCTTCCATCAACATCGATGTTTATAGATGTTGGAGATCAGCCTGTTTTCCAGTGTGGTCCTGTTTCTCTGACCGTGACAGAGTGGATGTGTTCTCTTCATCCTCTGACATGGGAGCTGGCTCGAAGCTCGTCTGCCTGGCTGTGTGTTTCCTGGACGGGGCCGCCTTTTGCAGCTGATTTTTCTATCTCTGCTTCTGTCTGCTTGAACCCCAGTCGGCCTCAGCAGATGGCCGCTCACACTGAGCCTGGTTCTGCTGGAGGTTTCTTTTGGAGTTTTCCCTCTTCACTATCGCTACAAGCATGTTTAGTGTGAGGGATTGCCTTTGAGTCAATGAGTCGATGCAATCAACTGGTTTTCCTTAGCTAGAAAACTTTGAATTCATTTGACTGTATGATCTGGTTGAACTGTAAAGTGCCTTGAGATCACGTGTTGTGAATTGGTGCTATATAAATAAACTGAACTGAATTCTGTGAAACTGTATATGAAAAATAAATAAATGGTTTAACTCCACAGGTGTTCAAAAGCCAGGAGAATGGATTGTTATGTACAAAGGAGAGAGAGAGCTCTGATCATTATTTCTCATGTTCTTACTGAGCTGTGGAGAAACACTATAAATACCTACATTAACTATGAAAATGTTAAAACCTGCTGGTGAAAAATATTCGATTTTATATTCTTGCAGTTTTTCCCCACAAATCTCAAAAAGTCTTTATATTCACTTGCAGCTACAATACGATGATTTTTGTTTTAAACATTTTTCTGTTCTAATCTGGACTTGTGTCCATCTTAACTGGCTGTAATCTGGTTACAAGACATAAAAAGGGTGAATGGAAGCCAGTTTGATCAATATTACATGTTTAGAGTGTAAAGAAAGAAAATGCAGTCAAAGCTGTATAATAACCATCTTATGCCATGCTTACTGCCTTCTTTTACTACAAGGAACCAAAAACGGGCAGGCACTGGAAGGAATGTAACTTTTTTTTGTGTGCAAATTAACTAAATAGACTTTAAATAAGGGGGCTTATTAAATGTTCTTTACATTTATTATGTGACCTTGTTTAGTTGTGCAATGTTTGTCTTGGTGTTGGTCTGTGAAATACCTTCAATGGATGGAGCTTGGTCCTGTGCAGCATACAACATCTCCTTAAATGCCTGTCAACAAAACAAGAAAACCCATCATCAGTAATGCAGATTAGGATTTTTTTCTTTCTCTGTTACAAATCAAACGTTTATGTTCCTTCTCTGACATGGACCCTGCTGCTCCGTTGCAATTGCAAAATTGTGTCCCCCCCCCAACATTAGCCGAATATTAACAAAGTTTGGCATAAAATTGTAGCCTTTATTCCGATTTCATCCGTTATCTCCATGTATAATGTTTTTTGTCATTTCATTTAGAAAAACAAAACAAAAAAAACGTTTAATTTTTTTTATTACAAGTTTCAATAAAAAACAGATACAAAGATTTTCTTCTTCGGATAATGTCCCTGATGCTTCCAGTCGGTCCTGTTAAAACCGCAAACACGCAGTAGATGGAGCCACAGTTGCTGCTGGGAGGAGGTCATTTGTAATGAAGAGGGTGTGATGAAGCAGACGCTGAGTCAGGACTGAGAGAACAGGACAGTCAGTCTCTTTTGTCCCCTCTTGGTTGAAGGGTTGATAGTCGAGTGATCAGTAAGTGTTTCAGAAAGTCAGAAGGACTGGAGAGACTACAAAGAACTCAGTGTTTAACAGCAGCTAAGGGAGCCAAGCAGGACAAACGTGCTTTTGTGCCCAACAGTAGAGAAACCAAGGTCATCATATAACCCACACAGCTAGTCTGAAGCTCTGCTGCAGCTTGTAAAGGAAAGCTAAACTAGCAACGCTAAACCTGGTTTCAGGGGGGCCAAACTTTATCGACACTGTTACTCATGATGAGGAAGAGTAGCCTTCCCAATTAAGCATTATCGAATATTTGAATGTAGGGCTGCAGCTAACGATTATTTTATAAATCGATTAATCTGTTGATTATTTTTTCCATTAAATCGATTAATAATCGGAGAGCCAAAGGTCGCTTTAAGAAGGTTTTTAATTAAATTAAGCCTGGTGAAACTAAAACTTTTCCACTTGAGGGGTTCTGGATAGAGCATACTGACCAGCAAAAACATTTATTTTTTATCTTGAATGCAAAATATTCATATATGTATTTTTTTTTATTAAAATTAGAGCTCTAACTGGCAGGGGTGTCACATGGAGGGGAAATTTAGGAATATTCTAAGGGCTCTTGCCTGAGGGGGGCCCCAAAAGAAGAAGAAAAGATTTTTCCCGATATATTTTTCAAATATAAAAAGAAAATTGAGCGGTGAAATAAATAATTTTGTGTTTTCCCTCTTTTTAAGCAAAAACCAGCGAAACAAAGCATAAATATATATTGACCAAAACACCCATCCTGCATCGCATTAGGTCTCCCAATCTGTCACCGGCAGTTTGCTTATACCCGGGTTTACGTGCCACATGTCATTTTACATACTGATAATGAATTAAATAAATTAATACATCTTTATAGCAGTTTAAAGGCTTACATATATTTTTTGGGTGGGGCCCCAATATCAATGCCTTTTTATGAGGCCCCAAATTCCTGGTGCCGCCCCTGCTAAGTGGGTTGTTCTGACAGCTAAAAGCATATTTTACAGTCCCTATGCTCCAGTTATTGATAAACCGATTACTAGATTAGTTGCCGATTATTTCAATAATCGATTAATCACGATCAATCCGATTAATTGTTTAGCTCTATTTGAAGGTTTATATTCGGTGCTAACAGGAAATCAACATTCTGTACCGCACTAAAAACATATCAGATGATAGTGTTTTCATTGCGCATTAAAACCTGAGAATAAGTCCGCTGAAAGGTTTGCGATCGACGTAAAGTGAAGTAAATGGAAGTGAATAAGACAGAGAGGAAGATTGAAACACAACTGGAATATATTAAAGAAACTCATTTCATTCAGGCCCCCATTGCAAACACTTTTCCTTCCACCACCATTTAAACCAGCGGGTTTTCTTAGAAACGTAAGCATACATAGAGAAACAATAAACAAACAGTGGTGGGAAAATGTCAGTGATAACCACGGCCACTGGAAGTAGTTTGAACAGGGGGTGCTGTGAACATTTTTATGTTTGTTTTTTTGGACAAAAGACCTATGAGCCTAGAGACCTATTTAAAATACAAATAAATAAGTAAATAGATTGAGATTCACTACTTTATTGTCAAATACACTTCAGTGCACGCAGCCAGGGTCTGTAACACAGACGACATCATCAGTTCTCAGGTGAATTTATGCACCATTAATTAAACTTCACAATAACACTATAACAACATAGATTAGTTCAGCTGGCAGGAACTTGAGTCACTGTGTTTATGTCACAGGTGACTTTATTAACTCCAAAATCCTCCAAAAAGAATGATATTATTATGCTATTTAAATGTTATCGAACAGTTCTACCTTACACAAAGAACTAAAGATCAAAATAATACTCTAAAATACTAGGGACACAACTGGTCTGATGTCACTGGTATTTTAGAAAAACATGCATGCTCTTTTTTTATGCTCAACATGAGCATCATCATCATTTGGTTTAAAGAGAAAATAAGCATTTCTTGCTATGTTTATACTAATTTTATCAGCACTACACACACTAGATGCTGTTTATCAATGCTTGAAGCATCATCGGTTCTACTGAATGTGGAATTAGGACTTTTTTCCCCTTTGAAAAGGTTTGCATTTAAACTTACAACCAAGACAGAAGGTCAATATGTGCCCGTTTAAAAAAATATAGTCTAAATATGTTCGTCATATGTGGATTTATCCTGTATTTTCTTTTGAAAACAGAGGTAAAACCCACGCTTAAGTTTCCAATTACGATGACAGTACAGTGTATGCCCGCACTTAATCATCACCTTTAACACCTGTACGATGTGTTGAAGTGTGCACTAGAGTCCAACTGCAGAACGTTGCATAAAAAGTAGCAATGTTTCTGAATAGAAGAGGGTCAAACTGGAAGTCTGAGCACCAAACACACACTGCAGGGAGTTTGACAGAAAACACCTTCTGGTGTGCCTGACTCTCCCAATTCGAGAGTCTCTCAAGCCTTTATGTGATTGAGAGAAATGAGAAAGAAGGCATTCTGCTGACTTATAATAAAAAAGATTTTTATATTATTAAGAGAAATTATATGATTTTAGAACCATTTTAAATGTAGAACATTTTATGTAAAATGTTAAAACGGTGCATTTTTGTCTGTCCAATACCTTTTGAGCGTATTTTCATAGACAGTGAAATCACTTGAACTTTTGTGCTTTAGTTGTTTCCATTGGCGGATGTTTTTTTTTAACTCTAATGCGAACGGATTAGTGGACCGCGGTCCGGATCTGATTTAAAACATTTATAAATTACTGCATGTTGTACTAGGCTGCACGTGACGCCAATCAGCTAATGAGCTGCTTTCAGTCTGGGTTGCTGCTGCTGCTACTTTTAGACACAGCAGGCAAACCTGTGGCAAGCTGGACGATGGGAAAGAAGGAGAAGATGATGAGAAAAAGAGAGCAGAGAAAAGTGTGGACTGCTGGAAGAACTGCAGTGAACTGGTAAAGAAAAGTAAAATGGTGCTCAAAGATGACCCTGCACATTTAGAGGATGTTTGGCTCAACCTGCTGCTGTGAAGCAGGATTCTCCACCATGAACAGAATCATAAATAAATATGGATCCAGGCTCAAAATGAGCTCCTTGAAATGTGCTTTACAATGGCTTTGTCTCCATTCAAACCAGCATAAAGCCCAGTGCTCTCATTACGACAGAAAAAAGAAAAAAATAACAGTCAGTTTAGGTGTTTTATAAAATATGTGAATCAGCAAATTGTCTATATACCAAACTAAACGATTGTTGTTCTCTACTTCAAAAACAATTTAGATTTTTAAATGGAAAAAAGTTCTATTTTTTATATATTTTATTTAAAAATTCAATGTATAAGATGGATGCATAAACACCTCATTTCATTTCAGGGGTAAATTCTGTTTAAAGAAACAGATTATAATCAAAATGTCTCTGGACCTTTGCTGGTTGTTAATTTTCTTTATTCAGACCCCACTGATTTTTAATTGGTTTCCCCTGATCTAACGTATTCAATCATTGATCAAAGCCTGATCAGGAAGTCTTTATTAAAAACTCAGCATTAAAACTCCAGCCCTCACATGTGGGACAAGGTTAAAATGACCTCCTTCTCAGGCAGGAAAACTATATTGTGGAGGTTTGAATTAAACAAAGTTAACAGAACCATAATAAACGTGATACAGTAGCAGCTCTAGATGATCTCAGGAAATCAATGGCTGGATTCACTCCAAGCCTCAATGACCTCTAAGCTCGCTGCGTCTGCCTGTAAGCACCAACAGCTGGCTGTATCTGGCTGTGTTGTGTATGGGGCCTGGTGTCTAAACAGCACACAGGACTGAACAACAAGCTTTCATTTCATGTGACAGTAACCTGTGGAGGCACAATTCATCAGTCCTATATTGTGCTGACATAAACACTAAAACCACAACCTTCACAGAAAAATAAAACCTGCAGGCTTTCTTTCTCACACCACCACAGAATGGGTGTGCAGGTGTGTGCTGCAACATTTAGTCGGGAGGATCTGATTCTCCTTGTGTGTCTTTGGTTCCTAAGGACTGAGGTGTAAAATAAGTTCAAGGGTTCTGGTTAGAGCATAGAAATAAATGAAAAAATAATAGAAGTCCATCTGTTAGTGTGTGTGTGTGTGTGTGTGTGTTCAGTGGGTTTGCTCAAGTTTCCAAAACAAGGAGCTCATCATCCTCACAGATGACCCTACTTCTGACATTTTCCCCTTCATCCTCTCCTCGCTGTTCGGACAGGACTACTTAAACGCCCACTGCCCTTTCAAATCCATCACTCTTCATTCCCTTTTCTGACTTTTTCCATCTATACTTTTGTTGATTCATCATTGAAAACGTGTGTCTAATATATATATATATATGTATCCCTAATCTTTATAATTAATCTCTCTGCTCTTTTTCCTCACCTCTCAGATCCAGACAAACACGCATCTCCACGTGAATCTGTCAGAAGGATTATGTGAATCATAACTGGATTATATTTGCAGTT